ATCATTCTGTCACTCCCCCAAAAGCTTAACGTACTCTTTGATGGGAGGTAGGTAGTCGAGTGAGCTCATAAGCATGTAAAGGTTAAGCACGAGATCCCCTCGACACTGTACTGTGTGCTTGTGCTTACCACTGATTAATGCAATACAAGTTGCCTTTTGTCTAATTTGTGTGCACTCTTGTTTCCTTTTGTGTGTTGTTGCTTGCATTTATAGGCTTTCTCGACCCCATTGAGCACTGCACGGGGCCCCGTCGATTAGCCCCCGTGACACTGAGGCATATGCCAGAGGTGTTAATACCTCTGAGGCATATTCCTCAGGTGCAAGAGGCGTACGCGTCATACGCCTTTTTCATGAGGCGTGCTAGAGGCATACGCGATAGGCCTCATATGCCTCTTTCATGGGGTGTGCTAGAGGCATATGCCTCATGCACCTCACAAACACCTCATACAAAAAGACAGAAAAAAAGAAAGAATAGAAAGAAAAAAGAAAGGTAAGGAAGATAAATAAAAAGAAAGAAAAAAGAGAAAAGAAAAAAAAAAAAAGAAAAGGGAAGGGAAGATAAGGGGAAAGAAAGTGGGCCTCCTCCCCTGCATGTTAGCTGCTTAATTGAACTTTGGAGACAAATTTCCCAGCCAGAGTAAAATATTATATGTTTTATCTTTATGTAGTTTAAAAATTAAAATGAAGACCTGGAAGCATTTGATCTGTATTGTGTTGAAATTGAGTTGTTTCAGATAATAATTCCTGAAATGTAATAGTTTTTGCTCTTATCTTGTTGCTTCCTTTTGTCTGTACTCACAACTTACCTCTGGAAGCAGGTACCTGATATCATTGATAATGCATTTGTTATCATTGAATTTGACAATGGTTCTCGTGGCATGCTTGACCTCTGCATGTTTGCTGAAGGGAGTAAAAATGAGCAAGAAATATCTGTTGTTGGTGACATTGGGAAGGTAGACCACTCTTTCTTCCTAACTGAGAATCTGAGATAGACAGCCAGTGGATATTGGGTATTTGGTTTTTTACTGGTCCCATCATGACCCAACTTAACACTTGTTTACAGGGTGAGGCCTTTGTTCCTGAGAGTATCGTGCGGGTGGGCAGTCGAGCAACAGGGAGAGATGGAGTGCAAACTTTAAAAGCTGAGGACAAACGGATTAAGTGTGTATAGACTCTGTTTTGATATTTCTTGCTCTTTTCATCTTTTGTCAGCTTCCCCATGATGCATGTTGATGCACTAGTTGGTCAACTAAAATCAATTATTGACTATGGAAAATATTCTGACCACTCTTTTGAAACTCACTGGGATTGCATTCACCAGATACGATGGGCTGCATCATGGATCGAGCTATTTGGAACACCTCAATTTCCTGTCTCTGCTGAGAGCTCAAGGTGTCCGAGCCCCTGCAGTAGATTTGCAGGATGGATTGCTTTCTGTCGCCATGGGTGTTGCAGCCCAGCTTTCAATAGAGAATGGCCGTTATGTTACCATTGAAGAAGTAATGAAGGAATAGATCCAAATCATACAATAAATAAAGCTTCTCTGTTTTGATTCCTTTCACATCTGTATGTTTTACTTGCTCTATTATATTATGGTTCTGTTTAAGTGTATTAAACAGAATTTTGTCTTCATGTACTATCAAAATAAATTTGTAAATCTGTAATGAATTGGAACCACGGGCCTGGCTAGTTGGCTTCTACCCAAAGTAAAAAAGAAAAAAAGAAAGCCACTGATATGGGAGGTAGAGCTGTCAATGCTTGGAGCCAACCTGTAAGACCCGGATCAACCGGATCCTATATCACACAGGGTCTGGCTCTGCATTTGAGTCCCGATTATTAAGAGGGTCAATTCTGGGTTTGCATTTGAGTTGCAATTAAGACCTGAACTACTAATATATGAAGAAGGTTATTCTACGCTATTTTTCTCAACATTGCACTTAAAAATTTTTCCAAGTTACACCCCCCCCCCCTCAAAAAAAAAAAAAAGACCTCTCTGGGGCAATGTAGGTCGCCAATCTAGATCATGGGCCTTCTTCATTGAATTTGCATCTGTACCCTCACAGTACATCCCAATCGTATATTGAAAATATTTTGCAATAACAACAGGGAAATATTCTTAATGCACGGGGGCGCTGATGTAAACTCTTCTTCATCACCCATAGACCCCATCCAGGTAAGTATATTCTTTTGAGAAAACTTAACATAAGCACTTCTAACTATGCTGGACAAATCAAACCCGGTGTAGTTGAAATGGATTGATGGTGGTGTGGGAGATTATGGTTAGGGACTTGGGGGTACTACAACTTGAGTTGGGTTGCATCAAGAATTTGTTAAATTTTCAATGGGCTCGAACCTGGTCTACTTGAAATTCTTTTCAAGTTGGGCAATCCAATTTACAGCCCTAATTGTAGTAAGACTCCGTTTGGTCTGTGGGATGGGAATGAGAATCTCTTATTTGTTTTGAGGGAAATAGAAAAATGCAATGAGAAAAAAGATCTCAAAATCGTAAAATCGGCGTCACACCAAAACAGTGGAATCCAATGGAAAAACTCAAAAAACCACTGTTCATTGCCTTCCAGCGACAACGAGGAACAATGATGACGACAAACAACTCCGTTACTGATTCGCTATGCAAACACAATGGCCTCGTTCTCTGCATTGCATCCTTCCCAAACGACTCCGAATCTACCTACGAAGCTGCATGCAATCTCTTGCAGCTTTCCTCATTATCGGTCTGCATTTCTCTCCTTCACTTCCAGAACCTGAATTCCTCGCCGCAGTCTCCAAATCAGAGCTCTCAATGCTGTTCAACCCTATGATTACGAGGCAAAGATAAATGACCGCTTAGAGAAGAGCACGAAGCTAAAGATCGCCATTATTGGGTTCGGAAATTTCGGTCAATTCTTGGCTAAGACCTTGGTTCGACAAGGGCACACTGTTTTAGCACATTCTCGATCGAACTATTTGGCCGTGGCTCGTGAATTAGGGGTTTCGTCCTTTTCTGATCCTGATGATCTCTATGAAAAGCACCCAGAGGTAATCCTTCTTTGTACTTCAATTACTTCCACCGAGTCCGTTCTTAGGTCGTCTACATAATGAAGCAATTAGAGAGGTTGGGTCAAGCTTTTGAGTCACTAAAAAAACAGCTTTTCGGTCACTATATAATTAAGGAGCGAATCAGTGCGGCGGTGACAAGAAAACCAAGCGGCAGTGCGGCGGTGGCAGGAGAACCAGGTCGTGAAAGTATTTTTTTCATATATAAAATTAAATTTTGAAAAGTTAAATTTTTACATTTTCCCATTTCATCCCATCTTATTCGAATCTTCCTACAAACCAAAGCAACCAACATCTTTTTCGCATCTCATCCAATCTTCGTACAAACCAAACCAACTAATATGAGATTGACTGCATCTGAATTCCAACATTTTATTCTTCTAGGAAACATCAAATGTGATTTTGCCCCTTCACCTTTCCTAGAATTTCCTTGTTTTTTATACCCTTATTTTTATTTTTGTTGAAGCCAATAGAATTTGCTTGGTTAAGCGTTGCAAGATTTATCTACCCTACGTCATGTGAAGTCAAAGCTCGAAGCCATTGGTTGAACGTTGAAGCACATGGGCTCCACACCTGAGCCACCGCCAGTTCAATCATCAATGCCAGTGACAGCCCGGCTGGACATCAGTGGGATCCACCGGAAAAAGGCAAAATCGATTTAGGTAACCTGTAACCGGACGACTGAATAATCTTAATTAGTAGTTAACACTAATTATGAAAACATTTAGTCAATTTATTTCGGTAAACAGTTACCATATCTTTCCTTAATCATGATGAAAGCAACATTTCTCACTTCTCACAAGTCACAATTCACAACTCGCAATCCGCAAGATACAGAAACGCGTTTCTACTACAGTTGAGTTGATATACAGCTCAGAATCTGGAATTGGGCGCGGTCATCATCTAATTCTATTTCCTTTACCCAAAACGAAAGCATCTTTTTGAGAGCTCCGTGGAAAGGAAGATCAAAAGATCTCTTGAAACAAGAGGAAAAAAAATTAAAATTAAAATGGTGCCGAATCGCTGCTTGTCTGCAGCTCTGTTGTTCCTCCTTTGGATGGGCTTGGCTGATTCTTCGAGCTTCATTTCAGGTGACTTTAAATACGTTTCGAGTTTGGCCTCCCGTTTGTGCGGTTGTTTGTTTTCTCATGTTTGGTTTCAATCCAATCTTTGCAGATAATGTCTTTGATTGTCACGGATCTACCGGTCGGAACCTCCTTCAGGCGAAAAAAAGTTAGTTTTCTGCGCTTTCACTCTCAAATTCTTTCGTTTTTTCTCATGGAACTTCGGTATACTTCTGTTGCATTTTCAAGATCATAATATCTGAAGTGGGTTCAGAGTCCCTTTTATTTTTCTGGAAATGTAGACAGTTCGTTGTGAACTTGGGGCTTTTATGGATTGACTAACTTAGCGGTATAGCGTTTACTTGTAATGCTCTATTCCGTGCTGGAGTTTTCAGATATCCGAAAATATCCTTGTTGATTTCAGGAAAGAAAGGTAGGAAAAAAATCAGAGTATGGAATTTCAATCGGGAAAGAAGCAATTCACTTGAATGATTTTTATTTTCTTTATACGAACTAGTGCTATAATTTGAGTTGTTATTGAAAATTTGCATAAGCTTCTCATGTGCAAGAATTATTCACAGTTCTTCGCACAAAATAGAGAAATCAGGTTTGCCCAACCCCACATATTGGGTGTTGATTTCTGGGTTTGGTGGCAGCAATGTTGTCGATGAGCTCCAGCTTGCCAGGTCAAACATACGCGTTAGACTATTGAACAGCAAAAATGTGGTTGGTTTAAGCTCAATGCAGCTGGTTCCAGCTGGCAACCGTCACATTGTGCAAACCTAGTTTGCTCACCAAAAGAATGAAAAAATAAAAGAAGGAATTATTTCACATTTTTTTATGGGAAATTCTCAGTCAATCTTGAATCTCCCCAGCCCCAAACCCCCCAATTTCGTTGCCAGTTCTGTTGTTCTAATTGGCTTATTGTTTATGATGTGATTTAATATCAAAATAATTATGTTGATTGAGTAAATCGGTGTGATTAATCTTCTATATTTTCAATAAGTGAAAGTGACTGCTTGCTGCATAAAGTGACATGTATAAGATGATAAGATTTGTTATTTGGAATAACACTTTTACAGTTGCATTTGTTACCTTAATACAGTGCATTATCTCTTGTGATATATAGACTGCTGGTGCAAAGAATTAGTGGAATTATTCCTTTCTGGATATCTGGTTTTGTGCTTTCTGTGGGCTTTTTTAAATTAGATTATAATGAGCTTTATATGGATCTTTTTTTGTGTGTGAAAAGCTTATGTTAGTTTGGATAGTGTTTCATTGCAAATGCAGATGTGTTTTTTTTTCACAATTTTAGTATATCTGTCAGTATCATAGTTTTTAATTAGTATTCATAATTAAGATAACTGTATAGAAAAATTCGACCTTTTGATTTGAGTGCACTGATTTATTTAGTAGCCCATTGACTCTGTATCTCTGATTGATTAATTATTTGTTTTGGTGTTTGATCATATGAACCACTAAGGTTACTGTGACTTGTGAGGGAAAATCGGTGGCTTTAGGAAAATGTGTGAACAATAACTATCCTTATTGTATATTAGGCTGCGTTTGGTTGCAATGCAAATTTATTTGCACTGATGTAAAATTATGGTAGTGCAAATGATTTAGGTCCAAATTCTGATTTATTTTTCTTTCAAAATTTTCCGTATTTTGTTTGATTTCAGTAAAAAATGAAGTAAAATAAGACTTGAAGCAGAATAAAGTAAAACCCAAAACAAAATCAAATCAGAATTTGCATTCTTTTCATTTGCACTCCCATGCATTTGTATTAGTGCAAATAAAATTGCACAGCAACCAAACACAGCCTTAATATCAAAATTTATTCTGTTGTATGACAAATCTGTTCCTAAAGTATAAAACATTGAAAAAATTGCATCTTTAAGTGTAAAATACTAAAGGTACACTAGTATTAATGATAAGAGGTGGAAGATGTTATAAGATATGCCAAGTTTTTATTATTTTCTATTTTCAGTAATAGCAGTATCACTTGTAGCCTATCATCTGAGTTCAAGCAATCAACAAAACTCTCGAATCAAATGCTTCAAAACTTGATGTGTGGCTAAAGATGCACTTGATTTTAAGAATCTTGGTTACAAGTGCACTGATTGGAAAAAATAAAAGTATACATAACATTTGAAACCTGAGATGTACAAGGTTTTTATGACTTATCATTTTATTTAAAAAAAAAAAAAAAACTTGAAAGGTATGTTTTGCACATACATTTAAATTTTTAGAGCCATCAATTGGCCAATTCATGTATCTAATATAAGTTTCAAGACATTTAAAGAATAGCCATAGTCAGTTCATGAATAATGATGCCCTGAATAGGAATAGACCAATATAGGTTAGTTCATGTATGTTAATAATTTATTAGAAAAAAATGTAGCCAGGGTCAGTTCATTGAGTAGACTAACTGATTTTGCCAGATCTGATAGGCGCAATTGGTGAACACATTGAGTAGGCACACTGATTGCCATTCTCCATGTGTGCTCAATTCACTGCACATATGGGATGGGAGTCATGCTGGTGGTTCAGGTGTTGCACACTGATTGTGTGCTTTCTCAGTGTACTCACTTAGCGTGCCTCGCAGATCTGGACTCCAAAACAGAACAAACTGGTAGTTAATTGGGGTATAGCTAAAGCCATGTTTGAATGTATCCGATAGCAATAGTTTTGTAATAATTGCATCATGTTTCCAGATGTTAAAATGATGGTGAAATAATGTTCTTCCTCTGGTGATCTGCAGGTTGCCCCGTGAACTTTGAGTTCCTGAACTACTCAGTAATAACAAGCCAGTGCAAAGGGCCCAAGTACTCTCCAAATCTCTGTTGTGGAGCTTTTAAGGAGTTTGCATGCCCCTATGCAGTGGAGTTGAATGACTTGACCAATGATTGTTCATCGACCATGTTCAGCTACATTAACCTCTATGGGAAATATCCCCCTGGCCTTTTTTCCAGCGAGTGTCGTGAAGGAAAGGAAGGGCTAGCATGCCCTTTAGCACCTGAGGTATCTCCTAATGATGCAATCAGAGGTCAGATTGGTCTAACTGTATTTCCACTCTTAGTTCTTATAAGCTCAATCCTCATGTTTCTATTCCAAATGTTGTGAAGCCCAGATGTTAATATCATTCAGATGGTGCTTGTTTGTTCTTGAAAACTTTATGGTTTTCTTGAGCCAGTCAATGTTGTACTACTTTGTGTATCAAACAGCTTTAAATTCCACATTCTTTAATCAAGATAACCCCAAAAAGTATTATTTCTAATATCCGTTCGTGCATAGAGCATTACCAGTTCCGTACATGTAGGATGCATGCCAAGTGAGTCCCTAAGCAGCAACCCATGCATGAGCATAGCCAAGCAGAGTCTTTGACCTACATATGATGGGAAAAAATCTTAATTTTCTAAACAGAAAAACTACTGTAATAATGGTGTGAAAATAAAAGCCCTTCAGTAAAACTTAAAACAACCAAATAAATGCATCAGGTTACATGAATCATATAAATTGTAAGATTTCTTTAAGAAATGGTTTAAATGTAAGATTCAAATATATAAAAATAATAAAATTTTCACAACAATGAATATTAGTGCCACATTCATTTTTCACTTCTTATAATCTTAAATATACCCGTGGGGGTGGGGAGCGCAGATGAATTGAATTCTAGGCCTCCATCTTTCTGATACATTATTTGCCAGAATTGCCCTAAAGAAGGACAATTGCCACCTTAGCTATCATTCTGCTACCAGCAAAAAAGTCCTGTAGCAATTTCACTGTCCCACATCCTCTAGTCTTATCTAGCATAGACCACTATAATCAGAGTCCTTACGCCATGGTAACTACCCGTGGTTCAAAGTAGCCTAAGCCCTGAGATCACAGAGCACCTGGTTCAGATTAGATTACGAAATGCTATAAATGGTTATCATATAAGCACCATTCTCAAAGATGATGTTCGGAGATTTTAGGCAACTAGATTATCAGCAGGTCATTCCTGTTAATAGCTTGTTACATACATAATGAGCAGATCAGGTGCTCGGTGTTGTGCAAGCAAGACACCATACTTTCTTCTGGTGAAATTCTTTGCCGGGAATATACTTTTCAAGCTTAGACACGGTGGAATCAAATAATTAATGCCTGGTGGCTGTTCAAAACAATATATACATTGGGAACCGGTCCCGATCCGATAATAATCAGGACCAAAAAACAAGAACCGGAATCGATCCATCAGTCCAAATCCTGAAAGTAGAACCAATACAATCAATTCGGTTCAGACCCAATCCATTGACAGCCCTAATTCGGCCCGATACTTCAGGTCAATGGCTCTAATTGACCAATGACCATGTATCCATCCCTTGGGTCATATTACAAAATGTGTAACTCATCATTTTCCTATACTTGTAATATTGCAAAAATGTGTCAAAGTGAGATAGGGCTGTTCATAAGAAGGCCCGACCTAATTTGAGTTGGTTGGGTTTTCATCAGTATGGGTCGGTTTCAGGTTGTGCAAATTCCTAAATCGATTATTCGGGTCGGTTTCGGTTTTTACACAAGGAAACCGAAACCGACCCAAACTAAACCGACTTAGTTCCTAGTTCAAACATGAAGTTCCAAAGCCCATTAGGCCACCTAGTTTTTGAATGGTTGCAAGAAACTTTGGATTAGTGAATTAATGAACAACTTTTGTGATTAACTTTTCATTTAAATTTTATCATAGGAGATGGCTGAAGTGATGTTCAATTTATGATTGTTTTTAAAATTAGCAAGATTTTATCACAGGGATGAACTTAGAACCGAAACTGATCCAAACCGACCCAAGCCGAATCAAACCGACCAAGTCAGTTTTGCTTAACACTGGGTCGGTTTCGGTTTCTATGTCAGGTAACCCAATCAGGTCGGGTTGGTTGAAAAAATCGCAGTAAACAGACCCAACCCGACCCGTGAAACAGTCCTAAAAGTGAGATATGCTTGTTCGTCTCAGCTACAAAATGTTTCCATTTCGCATGTCTATAGATCAAGGAATTTGCCAGCCCATGACATTTCTAAGCATGCTCTATACTTGGGTCAGTCTGAATCTTGGGAGGTCTACCGGATTTTATTCTCTGATTTTCAGGCTAATTGTACCAAGACTCGGGTGGTGTTTGATAACACTTTTCAGACTTCTGAAATCTGAAAATGTTGCTTTTCAAACATCAAAGGTGTTTGGAAGTGTATCTGAATTTGGGTCTAAAAATTATCTTCAGATCTGAAATAATAAGACATGGGTCAGGCGTTGAACGCGTTCAAATGTGTTTCAGACCTTGTTGAAAGTCCAAAATACCCTTGATCTCTCTCTCTCTCTTCGTTGCAACCGAATAGTCTAATTTAGGGGTAAAATAGTAAAATTAGTGAATTTCATATGCTAAAGGTTTGATCCAACACAAACAACCTTCTTTATTCAGAGCCTCTAAAAAGTCAAAAAACAACTCTCTAAAAAGTCAAAAAACAACCACCTCAATTGAATCAACGAATTTTCCTTCCGGCTTAAAAAAAAAATAAAATAATGTTTATTAGGAGTGCCATTCAACAATTAGTTTTATATGGACTGAGCAGGAAATATTTTTAGACAAAAAGGGTCAGAAAGTGCATGAAAACCCTAATCTAGTTTTGGCAGTCCAGGTATGCACGGAGATTAATGTTTAGCTCACTGAGACACCATTGTTAAACCCTAATCTACCTTTGCATCAAATGAATCCAAGTCACCATCAAAATGAAATTATGACATACTCTATCCATGTTCATCGTTGTGTCTCTTTACAGAAGACAGATCTCCTCAAATGAAACTTGTACATTGTGCAAACTTGTAGAATTGTACTGTATGAGGGAGCCTAAGGCATCTTGTGGTCTGCAATACATGATCCAAAATGAGGAATTGCAACAGTCTTTCTTCAGATCTAATTACACTTAAATATTGGGGAAAATATAGGAGAACAGGATATCTTTTTACAACACAGGCTTTTATTCTCTCAGACATGGGTTTATATAAATTATATACAATTGTTGAACATTTTTCTTTGCTTTACAGTAACAAATGTACATGATCTAATATTTTGTCCTGATTTCTACCCAAAAAAAAAATTATTTTGTCCTGATTTACAAGGAGAAACAAACAATCAATTAAAAAGATAAGTAATTTCTGCTGTTACGTTTGAAATAACAATTATTGTATTAAACAGCTTGGTGGGACGATCACACCATGAGCTACTCCACGTGCATTCTGACAGGAGGACTGTGCTGGTTTACTCTGGTAAGTGAGATTTATATCTTGTAAGCCGATATCTTTGCATGGAGCAGTTGGACTGCAATCGAACTTCACAGCAACTTTAGTAGCTGATGTTCCTTTAATGTCTCTATACGAGATTCCACTTATTTGCACTCCAGAGTCCTGTAGAAAATATCATAACAGATACGCTGACTAGATCACATCAATGTGAACTGAACCAATAGCACTTTGCCATTTACTTCTATACAACTTCTGCACCCGCCAAAGAAAAAGAGAAAACGAATTCAACAAATTAAAGCTGAGGACTACCATCATAGGAGTCCATACAGACTATAGCTGATGAAGAAAATCCCTCATCAAATGGAAGATAATGGATTATTATTCATGTTCTCCCTATTCTAAGACTCTGTACTTTGTAGGCTTCAAAGCTCAGAGATACAAAAGAAACCTCTAACTGAAAATTATGTAATTGTTTACCTGGTAAGGACAATTCTCATTACGTGGGCAGTAATTTTGATCGATAACAATTGGGTTTTTGACATTTTTCATCACAACGTGCTTGTACACCACGCCTCTCACAAACCCATTACTGGGTCTACCCCAAGATTTGATCCTTAGACCATTTTGAGTTCCTGTGAACACCACTCTCTGCACCACCACGTTTTGCACACCTTCTTCTTCCAGGTCTTTAGCCAAGCTCCCAATGCTGCAACATGCACAAACACCCCTTCAGAATTCAGATTCAATACATGAAAACTCATTGGACAGGTCAAATACGAATAGGATTAGGAGCTGCACAGCCTGAATCTTGATAGCCGGCGGCCAGAGCCCGGATGGCCAGGCAACCGACCGGATTGGCTTCATCGGCAGTTCAGATCGATTGAGAATTGCCGCCCAAAAGAGAGAAGCAGGTATATATGACAATGGCTCAAAATCAAGGGCTAAGCCTCTGAAATCTGATTCTGATACTGAGGTCAGAATAATTCTGACCAAATCAGACGTGAAAAACAAAAACGATGGATATGCAAGAAATGTAGCATCTCACCTTATGCCATGTCCAGGCCCGCAAGCAACACCTTGAACCTGCAAGTTCGTTGTTCCAGGACCAATGGAGATACAGTCATCACCGGTCTTGATGCCTGTGTTGAATACGCTGATATTAATCGAATTCTGCACATGTATGCCATCTGTATGCGGGCTCTGGTCTGCGGCATGAATCAGAACTTTCTGTAATACTACATTCTGACATGTATGGACAACAATATGGCCTAGTTTGGAGTTGATCGATGTCAATTTCTGGACAGCTATATTTTTCGAGCTGTAGAAACCAAGTGACTGCACAAATGGATCATCATCGATCGTTATTCAAACGCAATTGATGATTAATCTATTACATGAAAAATAGATCAAGACCATGGCGATGATATGTGTATATATATACGTACCGTTGCAGCACCAGGACAATTCTTCGATACACTTTTGCACTTCCACAAGCTTGAGCCTCGTCCATCCAGATACCCTCCGAGAACAGACACCCCATCGACATCATCGAACATGAGCCAGTTCTCAGAAGATGGCATCTCCTTATAATCCGGAGCGACCAGGATGGCATCCATTCGAAATGTAATCCCAGAATTGTTACACGGCCCACGGAAGACCACTGGACGAAGGAAATACTTCTTGGGTGGTACGTATATAGTTGCTGGCTTTGAAGAGCTGCAGGCGGCCGCCCATGCTGCGAGAAAAGCCTCACTTGCATCTGTCTTCCCATCTCCCTTGGCCCCAAAGTCTGCAACATTGATATCTGCATCGGTTGATGACAGTAAGAAGAGGAGTACTGAAAGAAGAGGGCTCTTTAGTAGTCTTGCCATGTTAAACAATTAATAAAGACTACTTGCAGGTAGTTTTGTAGGGGAGGGAGCTTCTCTGGTCAGGTTGAGGCAGATGAAGGGAAGATATCTAAGAAAGAAGGAGAAAGGTTTTAGCCTTTTAGGGGTTGATGGTGAGAAGCTACAGACAACAGCCAGCTTGGGTCCTTGTTCTTTAAATAGAAACGGAGAAAGCTCAGGCCTCAGGTGGCCAAAACACAAAGCAATACATGCCGAAAATGACAGAGAGGTTCAAAGGCAAAGGCACGTACGGCCGTTAACTTGATGAAGGGTGGGTGAGTAGTGATGCATGCATGATTTATATCTTTCGGTATAAGAAACGGCTTCGACGATGAGTAAGTATATGTCTATACTACCAGAGGAGAGAACGGTTGGAAAAGAGAAGACGTGCGTGTGCACGGCCGGCCGTATTGCCCCGGTTGTACTCTACGTACTGAAAACTGAAAAGCCAAAGCTAGTCCTAGAAGTATTCATTCTTTTAATAACTCTTCTTCTTTTGTTTCTTTTTAAAGAAAACCAGCTTTTAACACTATCTTTGGGCATAAGCCTTGTCCGTTTTATTGCGTGAATGGGTAGCAGTGGATGCGCGCTTAATTAGATTCGAGTGAATGTTTACAGGGGATGGGAACGTCGTCAGATTTCTCACCTGGGCACGCCGTCGGCCGTCCAACTGTCCATGTCCCAATTCCAAATTTCCAATGTTCGGGATAAGAAAACTTTTTCCAAGAATTTAAAGAATCTCATTAGCTCAAATTTCTACCATTTGCGTGGCTTAAAAAAAAATAAACAATTATAATTTGTTTCTCCTCTCTTTTAATCTTATAAAAATTAGCCTGTCCGTACTTTTCCGTTAAAAATTAAGGCTGATGCATATATTAATTATGAAATCATCACATTATATCCTACCTACCCATCATTCCTCTGTCAAAACTCATTTAAATTTTAATCACAAATTAAACCTCTTCAAATACATGTAATTTCACTATCTAGGTTGTGTCCAACAATGGGAATGGTTGTTTTGTAAAACAAAAACAAATGCCACACCACCATGTCATAACATGTTTCTCTCCCTACTATAAACTGAAACAAAATTAAATTCCCTCTTAAAATTCAGTATTTTTTTATTTAAAATACATACTTCCGTTTGGAATTGGAATTTATCCCTCACAGAGCGCTGTTCACACCGATTTCTGCCTTTTTACAATCACATCCTACGGTGTATTGGAAACATCTCACATGAATAATAATATAAGTCAACGTTTTAAAAAATGACCCAGAAATGGAATCGTTCTGGTCACCGGTTTTCAGCTCAACGATCTGACCATTTGATTCGAATGGATGGTTTATTCTGACATTAAAATTCAAAATAATTAAAAAATAAAAAACGGTTAAAAATTATTGAATGGGTCGACAGTTCGACCACTCAATTCAACAGTTTGTTGACTTTTTCAATGGTTTTTTACCAGATTCCGGGTTTTGGGTAAAACGTAACCAGTTGCCTGAACGATTCCCGGGCCCAACGGTCCAACCATCCAGACCAAACAGCAATTCAAAAACGTTGATATAAGTAACGAGATGTTCAGATGTTCCTGATGTACAGCCAGTTGGTACTTGGTAACTCCTGATGTGAGGTCGGTGCAAGGAGCCCTTGTGTGGAGCTGATCCGGACACGGGTATGATTCATATTACTTCGATACTTGATCTAAGAGTTTTCAAATTTGAATTGATTTTCTTTCCAAACTAATAAGAAACACGGGCATCGTCATTAGGAAAGGCATAACGAATTTTAGTAGTTTTCTCCAATAGTTACTCTTGTCTCTTGGATATGAATTTTCATTTTGGCTTCTGGAGATTGCAATGGATGCATATGGAAAGCCACTGGCACAAGTATCGAGACGGATGCATATGAGGTGCTTTCAGCCTTTCACAACTTGCGACTTACAACTTCTAGCTCTAGGTTATCAGCATGTTTAAGATCATACTCCTGTTATTTGAGTAATTGGGAGTGGAGAGATGGAGGGGGGTGTCCGCCGATAATGTATCATTTTGTTCTTCGAAACATAAACTGCAACTTCAGTTGATCAGCATGTAGCAATTTTACTTTAATTTGAAAAACCCATGAATCAATACATTTCTTAAAGCTCAGATGCCTAAACTTGCTAATGGCATTAAAAGGTTGGAAATTCCTTAGTGTACAACCGTTAGTGGCATTCTAGACTTCCATCTATAAGACCTCAATATATTTAGCAAATTCAACAATTGTGGAAACTAGTATGGATAAAATGCTCAAAATAACACCTGTTTTTCTCTTATTTTCTAACCAAACAATCTCATCTTCACCTTAGTCCAATTCTACTTTTCAAAACAGAATTAGACGCAACGCAAGTATCCCAAGCATCAAAAAGCATTCAATGAAATGAAAAGGTGTTAAAACGCAACTAATATGCATGAAATGTCTAAAAGCTTCCAAACTGAACATGTCCCAAAATTTTTTCCGCATGCTAAAGAAACAAGAACAAGTAATATGAAAATCCAGGAGCAACAAGAAAAGCAGGTAGTAGGATCAACGGTAGCGACGAAGAGAGAGGGTATTGTTCCTCTTCCAGGTAGCCCTTCGGGAAGGTCGTGCCTTGTGGTGCAAATGCCCCTTTCCATGGAGACCCCTGTACTTCTTCCCTGCAGAGGTGAGACCTCTAAGTTCCCTATGCTTGTGCACAGGCTTACATATCCAGTTGATTCTTGGGTCATTGCGGATTGCATTATGGGCAGCATCCACCAAAATGATCTCATAATACTTATAGGTAGAATCCTGCATAAAAGAGTAAAAATATTACACACAACTTTCATATGAACAAATGCATGGTTGGAGGAAGAACCAGATAACATTAACACTACAAACCTCATTGATCCAATATGAGTTGAGCACCTTCAAGCCACCCAATTTCCGACCAGCTCGTTCCTCTGCAACTGACCTCTTGTTGCGCTGAAACTTCAGCTGGGTGATACCTTGGTTTGTTGGCTTACCATACATAATACCCTTTGGCACAGGTCTCTTGCGACCACCACGTCTAACTCGGACACGATAGATCACATAACCCTGGAAACAATATTTCAAGTATAATCCATGCAATATGAGACAAGTAATTATAGCATATGAGAAACCAGCCTCCAAATTAAAATATACAGATAGTTGTAGGGATGCAAGGTAGACAAGATGTAAAAGTCAATAGTTTTGACACAGAAACAGGGTAAACAATCAAATAATCATCTCAAGATTTAAGACAAAAAGTACAAATTAGATGGTTAGGCCGAAAGAAATAGCCTGCAGATGGGCTTCAGAAATGAGGCATACACTTGTTCATAGGAAGCAAGACCTCGTCAACATTATTAAGGTGGTTCAAGCAATAAACTTTCGCAATGCATACCTCACCATAGTGGTTTTCATTTTTTAAATTATGGTCTAGAATTTCATAAAAGGATCAAATCTACTTGATAACATTTCATAGTGTCATCGTCAAGACAGTTCTCTTCTCCTGATCCCTCTAAATTTTGTGTCTTTTTTAATTTTTGAAAAGATAGAAAGTATTAAATATGAGGCTATTTAAACTCGCACGTAATTTTCATTTTTATTAGGAAATTTAATCTAATAATTTCCCTGTGAAATATGGGGTGTCTTTAACGCCCTTCCATTCATTGCTCAAGCCATTGTGGCAGGTTTTTAATGTCAACGTGGCAAAAGGTCCATGTTGTTTCACCTTTAAGGATACCCTAGAGTTACACACCAGGGCCTCAAGAACAAGTTAACAGAGATACAGATCATCCATGTACCAGGAAGTCCTTTTAATGTAATTACTTTTTTTATAAATCTTTTAATGTAATTATTTTGAATATCAGTCTTCCGGTTCACAGCAACTTATTTATCAGCAATACAAGAATGGCTACAGAAACTCTTCAAAAAAATGGGAGGAGAAAGACAGCTGTATTTAATAAGATGGTTGGTGACTATGTAAGGAAGGTCATGGTGGTGAATTGGTGATTCCCAAAAACAATAAAAAGAAAAAAAGGGGGGCGGAAGATTTAGCATTGCATTTGCTTCTCAAAATGGATGAAGACGGCCACAATAGAGTGCCCAATTACCTTTCCACTTTTTCTGTTGTATTAAATCTTTATTAACTAACTCATTTTATAATGATAAATTACTGAGATAATGACATAGCAGACATTCACCAAGCTGGTTTATCTTTTCTACATCGCACTATTTCATTTTGTAGTTAGAACAAAGCGGGACATGTCAATCTCACTGGTCAGTCTTATATTTACTATGATATCTGTTAACAATGCAGTCCCAGCTTCTATAACAATAAGAATGAAAGTGAGAAAACACAACGACAAATAACAATAAGCCAAAAAATTAAGATACTAAGTCATTGAAGCATAGAATTGATTATTTAATCTGAAACTATTGAGTTATTTGACTTTCGAAAGAACGTGCAAGATGTAACTGAATAAACATAAAAAATAGATCACAGAAAACACAGAGATACACTCGGTGAGGAAAATATAGATGGAATATAACAGCATTTACCTGTTTCGCCTTGTAACCCAACCGGCGAGCCTTGTCGGGGCGGGTGGGTCGAGTTACTCGGACAATCGAAGGCAGCTGGCGGTACTCCCAACACCTAACCCTCTGCAGAAACCTCATCACATCGGATTGTTTCTTTCTCCATAGCTCCGACACGTACTTATAAGCCCCTACATATCAAAGAAAAGAATCAAAACTCCATTCCCAGAACTTGACAAGCAGCAGAAGGCACCCAAAATACCAAGTACATAAAATCAAGAGAAAAAACCTCGGATCTTCAAATTGAGTTATAAATCTCGGGCCATATAGCATATGAACCACAGTTGATTAAGGAAAATAAATAAAACGAAGAGCGCACACAAATCCATTGGCCGACACAAATAAAACATCGACGTCGTAAAACGAAGCATTTAGAAATCTTAGTTAGAAAACAGTGCGTAGCTTCAGCGAGACAAAGTAAACAAAAATACGACAAATAGGTTCATGAATTTTTTACATTCAAAATCCAGAACGAAGCCCCATCATTTCATTACTAGAATCAAAATCAACAAAAAAAAATACCCTAGCATCGAGAAAATTAGTAAGGAAGCTGTGAAATGATTTACAAAAAAGCAATGAAATCAAATGAAGTCTAAAGATTTCCGGCATCGACCGATGAAACATAGATAAGAAAGACATTGTCCACTCACCCATGGTAGTGTTCCTCCGCCTGCACACTCGCTCTAGGGTTTTGGCTTACAAAGAGGACTCGACGCAACTGAGAAACAATATAATAGATCAAGAAATAAGATCTTATCCGTTCATTATCAAAACATCCTGTCCGTCTGTTACGAATAACAAGAAAACCCTAACCCTAAAAATATTTACCTAATAACGAAGGCAACCTCTAAAATTTATGTTCTTCTATGCAACGCTCTTGATTTATCAAATTACACAAGAGACCTAAAAGTATAAAAAACAAGGGAATAGTCCTTTAATTGACATTTTCATGTCAGAAAAATGATCCAATGAGGAATAAACAAACACCACCTTAGATCGAGCTGGAGAAAAAAACAGGAATAGAGAAAATTTTGGCTGCCCACGTTCGACAGCCAGTGGCCAGTGCTGTCCACAGGCTCACTTCACGTGACGTGATATATCAGTCCACGTAGTACCGTAATCGGATTGGATTTGGATCAAATCCAGTCACATTCCAATCCGATCCAATTAACTGAAACTCCAAAATATTAATTTTATGTTGTACATTTATATTTGTGTATAAATATAAAATATTAATTTTATTATTTTTGGTATTTTTTTATTGTTTATTTCACACGCGCATACATGCAATGAATTTTAATTGAATTGGATGTTAGATCGAGTCTTTGGACCTTCAAAGTCCATTTGACAGCCGAAATGCACATCGGCATGCTTCACATTATAGGTTGAAAATGAATCCAATTGAATTGGATACAGGTAGATGAAGATCCTAATTTGATTCATTTACGAATTAAAATCTTATCCGATATTGAAGTTCAAGTAAATTAAACTAATTAAAATTGGTCAAAGAATTATATGTTACTAAGGCTAAGGCTGTGTTTAGAATGGGTGTAAATGAAGAATGATGTAAATATTTAATTTGGTTCGGTTTTGTTTGTGTTTGGAAAGAATATGTAATAATGATCAATATAAAATTCTACTTCGATTCAGTTTTGTGTATATTTAGATGGGGTGGAGTTTTATATCGTAAATCAATGTAATACCTCATCATATGTAAAATTTTACATCGATTATTGATGTAAGACTTTACACCAAATGTGTCACATTTTTCAAAAATACAACGATACTTAATGATGGTTCAGTGTAAAATGTCATTAGTATATCTTTACACCGATGACGTTTTACATTGATTCCAAATGCAGTCTAATAAAATATATTAAAAAATGACTATTACCTTATATTTTTTGCATAAAATTACTTATATAAAACTTGAATCTATGACAATTTAGTAAAAGCACCTTATTCAAATTATCTTTACTTATAGATACAATATGAATTTTTAAGCATATATGGGTGTACATATTTAAATCAAATCGATTAGAATTAATATTTGATCCGATTATAAACAGATAAAATTTAGATCACCCGGGCCCCTAATGAAATCAAATCCTTATTCAAACTCGACAATCTGATACCATTTGCAAGCCTTATTATTCGTGTATGATGTTTATGTGCACTAGCTTGCCAACAGCGTGGGCTATTAAAAGTAGACAGCCAAATCTTTGTTCATGGAGCACGAAATAAAAAACTTTTGATGTGAAAACAAAACAAATTGGTTCTTAAAACAAAAACACAGGAAAGTTCTCGTTTGTATATGTTTTTTTTATTCCAAAACTGGAAAAAACGTGTACTGAATTCTTGGTATAAAGAACGTTTTTTCGTATGGTTATTTAATATCAACTTTTTAAATCATAAAATTGATAGTACAAAAATTTGTTTTTGTTTTAAAAACTATCATTTTAATGGTTTAATTAAAAAAAAAAAGTTTTTTTTTTTAACAAAATCAATTTGCTCTTATTTCTCAAGACAAAAACACACTTCAAGAATCAAGAGCGTGTTTTGTTCTTTTGATTTGGGAAATTCAAAAAGTAGTGAAAACAAATTAAAACATTTGTATTCTAAAACACCCCTTGACACTCATATTATTCAGTTCAACATGTAAAAATCATAAAAAAAAGAACAAAAAAATTTCATCAATTCACCATCGATTCAATTGAGTCCAGTCCGAGTTTGTTAACGTTGCATCAATTCTGAAGTTCATATAGGAAAAATCTATGATGGCCAAAAGATATGATACCAGAAAGGCTTTAACCAATCCCCCCACACCCCCTTATTAGTTATTTTTTATGATGCTGGTTGATTGGTTTTAAGTTTTGCAACCATCAATCTATGCTAGTGAGCTTCGATGGTATTGAGTTGCAAATTGAGATGCCCAATTTGAAGAATTTCAACTACAATAGGCTTGGTTTAGGGTTCAGGTTCATTAAAATTTTGAAATTTTAACAAATCCCAACCTAAGTAAAGTTGCACTCTTAAGTATTATGAATTGTCATTATAATTTAGTCTTGCACAAAGTAATGAATGGGATGCTTTGGGTCAAATTTTAAGCCCAAATAACCAAGATCGCATCTACATCAACAACATAAATGATATATAAGGTGAAGAAGCTGTAAAGTGGACGTGCCACAGTGAATGGGCATGGCCTGGTTTCTGTAGCAATCATGTAGTGCTAGGCCTGGCCCAAACCCCATGTTGTGTCGGGGTGGGAGTTTTGAGGTCCGCATGTCTACCCTATAAAGATTGGGTAGGGTTGGTTCGATGTTGGTTTCATTTGGCTCCAAGTAGAACCTATCCATTTGTTTACGAGTCCGAATCAGGTAGGCATGACGTTGTAAGCACGATAAATGAGCACTTTAATTTTTTTTTTTTTACACTTGTCCATTGAAACACCCCAACCTACCATTGAAAAAAGATTAAAGACAACTTTTAACAGTTGTCAGAATATTTATAAAGTGCTCGCTAAATGTACTTTCTATGTTGTGCCTACTAGATCCGATCCCTTTGCTCACCCCTAATACCAATTGGTTGGCTGTCAATTTTTTTCCAGTATCATATTGAACCCTTCCCTCACGAGGGCCAAAAACAGATGCAATTGAATGAATGTTGTGTTACCAAATTTGATTCATTTAAGTTTATCAATTCTGAATCCACGGGGTAACAACATTGTGGTGCAACTACATTTTAAGTTTATAAATAAAATTTCTTATTTTTATCAAAAACGTCAAACTAGACACTTTAAATTATTATTCACACACATGCATTTTTCTAATTGAGATGATATTAATATTATATATCATGAACAAAATGTTTCCAAAACAAATTTTATGACACTTGAACCAATGAATCTTAAGGTTGTGTTTGGTTGCAATGCAAATGAATTTACACTGATGCAAAATCACGATAGTGCAAATTATCTAAGTGTAAATTCTGACCTATTTTTGTTTTCAATTTAAGCTTATTTTGTTTTATTACAATACAAATGAAGTAAATTAATACATGAAATAGAATAAAGTAAAACCCAAAACAAAACTAAACGAGAATTTGCGTTCTTTTTCATTTGCACTCACATGCATTTATACTAGTGCATGTAAAATTATACTACAACCAAACATAAAAAAACAACATTTAGATCCACTTTACTAACAAAAAGAATATAACTTTTAAGTATATATATTATAACGATGATACTTTGCCTTGGTTTTGGTGTAGGGCATAAAAGTTAAATTTAGTAAATAATCTAAGGGTGGTGTTCGATTTTTTGGATTTTGAGGGAGGGGGAGGGGGGAAAGTTGGTCAATAGGATTTTGGCATTGACAAAGTTATATACTAATATATATGTTACATATCATATAAAATATCTATAATATATTATATTATATTATATTATATTATATTATATATTAGAACGTATAGTATTATATATATATATATATATATATATATATATCTTATAATTTATATAATAATATATTAATGTACATTTATATATTAAATAAATTTGGTTTTAACCGAAAACCGAACTGAAAATTTTGATTTTAAAAAATTTGGTTTATTCAGTTCAGTTTTTAACCAAATAAACCGATTGCTCACCCCTACGCGTGCTTTTTTCTCCTTTTTTTATTTGAGAACCAATGGGTTCTCAATGGTTCTTCGGCTTTGTCAACGTGGACGACAGTCACGAATGGCAATTTTTTTATGTCTTTATGGGAAAATTATACGAGATATGTTTGTGTGGAAATCATTTCAGTTACTTTAGTTGTATATCCATTTTGGTTACTACAATTGTAGATCTATTTGGGTTATTAATAAGTTTGAAATTCGAGTTCGACTCAGCAATTTGTGGCAAAACTAGGTATGTTCTCCTTACTCTTTTATTCATTATGTTTGTGAACTGAATATTCAATGTGTTTGTGAATTGTTAATCTTACCGAAAACCAACGTTAAACCAGATTATGGTTGAACAACAACCTCTATTTAATTGCTAGTGTTTGAGAATCTTGATAGGCCTATTCTGGAATGAGAAACATAGGTCTATTTTGGTGGGCGTTTTCACTTGTTTTCAAGCTTTTCTTCCAGAAATGCTTATTTCTAACAATGTTGCAGTAGTGGGGTAGCTCGTAAAATGGTTGACCTCCCTATTCCCATGTCTTGGTGTTAGACGCACCGGATAGCCTGGTTTTTCATCCTTGCACCAACTTGTAACATGGATCAGTTTTTCTATGCATGAATGAAGGAAATGTACTCAAGTTTCTTTAGATCCACTTAAGCCTTTGCCAGGGGTGTAAGTCAGGCGGGTTGGGCTGGGTTTAAGCTCAACCCAGGCCCAACCGTAAGAATTAGGCATAAGGTCTGAGCTTGGCCCAGGCCCTAGGTCAAGCTCAAACTGTCCAACCAGAGCCTGACTCACTAAAATTTGATTCACTTGGGTTAGGCTTAGGTTGGTTCAGACCACGCAAAAATTTAGGGCAAATTTGTTAAAGTACCCCTATGGTGTAGGAAATTGACTAATTCTACACTTATTATTTACATATTGTCTTAAAGTATCCCAAAGTTTTTTGACAATTGACATCATCGCTAAGCATGAACGAAATAAAATAAAATATCAAATTTTCCCTTCACTATTCCCTAAATTTTCAAAATAAAACCCAACTAGTGAAAATTTTCAATAATCATAAG